GTCTGATGCTTCTTTATGTAGTATATAAATGTGTGTGTGTGTTTGTGTGCCTATACAATATAGTTACAACATCGATTGACTTTGCAGGCTACAGGGGAATTTCAAATTCTCACCATAAATATTCGATTGGCATCCAACCATGGGTTTTTTTAGGTAGCCATGACTAGTGTCTGTAATTTAGTATGACAAATAAAATATTTATTATTTCAGAACAAATGGAATGACAGTAATGGGAGATACTCACGCAAACATACACACACGTTGTGGATACACCTTGCAAATTTGGCGCCATTCATATGACATAAGACATTTATCCGGTCAATAAATTTGACCTTTGACAAACATCCGATGAGGAATTTCTCTAAATCGATATGAAATCAATAACCGAAAAAAATTGTCATTATTCGTAACAATGATAATGATGCTTGATAAATAGATGATGAGACATGGCTCGTTAAATTATATGAATCCGGTCATATTAGCACCAAACCCACCTAACAAACATTAAAGAGACTTTCTAGCTATCTGAAACCGACAATCGTTGTAGATAAATTTTTTCATTTCAATTCAATTATTTTTTGAATATGCGAATGATCTTTCTTTTTTTCACCTGTTTGCTGATTGAAACGAATTCATCATCCGTCAGGTTGATTTGAATATTTCGTGTTTATGACCGGTTATATTTATTAAATTACATTTCCTTTTGATTAGATTTCATTATATAATTTAATGAAAAACCAATCATTGTGTAAGCGAACGTAAAAAGCAGATAATTCTGGTGTCAAATATGAAATTCAACGGCTTGTTGTTTTGTTTTCTTCAATAGAAATCATGTTATATATGGTAGGATTCAATTCAATTTAATTCGGGTAATGATGATAACAATATAAACAACAAGAAGATTGTAAATTGGTCAAAATTTGTCGCGACAAAATAGACAAACAAATCAGAACGAAGTATAGCAATCAATGAAAATTTGAATTTAATCATATCGTGCGAAAAAAGTGTTTGCTACTTCCAGTGGTAGCGGTCATTTGAATCGAATCATCAGATGGCCAATTATCACCTTCATCATCTATCGTAATCGACATGACCCTCATACGAATACAGAGGACAATCGATCGATCGATAGACGGATGAAGGCACAATCCATCCATCCATCCATCCATCCATCCATCCATCCATCCATCCATCCATCCATCATCCATCCATCCATCCATCCATCCATTCATTCATTCATTCATTCATTCATTCATTCTTTCGATTCGTCTTCATCGAATCGAAGATAATAATAGCCTTAGCTGCTATGACCAAATCGAACAAATGATGATGATTGTCGTAAATATCGCAACCCAAGATGCTGCAATGATTATTATTACAAGCAAAGAAATTGAAAACATTTTCATTAAATTGATCCAGCATTGCCCTCCCATACATGTGCTTTCTATTTTCTTTGTTTTTGTTTTTTTTTTGTTTTTATGATTTCATTGGAAAGATTTTACCTTAGAGAAAAAGATTTGGTTTGATTGTTGCTTACCATTGAATAAAATCATTCATCCATCCTTTCGGTGAATAACCTTTCCTATGATTTTTATAATATCAACAAAAATAACGTTTATACTTAACCTTTATTATCTACAGAGTTTGGAACTCTTCATTTCATCCAAATAAAATTTTTTTTTTTTGATACACTTTCTTTTAATGGATCATGCGCTCATGAACCGATAGGGCCATATTTATTTCTTGATTGATAATGAACTCATTATTTTTACAACGATTGTGTGGCGATTCCAGGAATTTATCTTGAAAATTATTGAGCTCTAGACTGAGAAGAATCAATGAAAGTTGGCTAGTGTATCCAAATAAAAATTCGATTGCAAATGAAATTTTTTGTTGTTATATAATTTTTTACTCGATCCGGTCATGGCACCAAATCTCCATCAATTGCCGGTTTTTGCCCATCTTGACAGCTCATGATCAGAAATAAAGCATTGAATGGATAGATAAAATGAATCCTCAAGAATAGGAGCCTTTGAATTTCTCTTTCGATATAGAATTGTCGTTTTCTCCACTCGGTTATTTTGTGTGTCGAGTAATTTTGCCTTCAATTTAGATGTTCAAAAACAAAATGAAATACCACGGTGAATAAACAAAATAGTAGTGACTCTAAGACGATTGTGCGCTTGTGTGTGATAGATTCATTTTGGATTTTAATCTTTAAAAGTATGGTCCCTAGTTCAACTTTTTTCATTCTCAGTTTAACTGTGATTTTCTGGCTAACAAAGAAAAAAAAACATAAACATTGCAGCCAAGGACGATATTTTTTTTAATCAATGGCCAATGCAACTATAAAATAACCTGGTCTCAAGATAGCTAAATCTAAACTTCAATGTATAGTGATGGTGACGATTGCATCGACTAATCGTAATGAAATCATCAAGCAAAGCAATCGTCAGTCAATCATGTTGAGGAAAAGAATTTTCCAAAATGGTTGGAATTCCTCGAGCGAGAAATTTTATTTTTCTCTCTCTCTCTTTTCTTATTTTCAGCAATAATGGCCAAACAAACCCAAAATAAAGTTTTTCCCTGATTAGAACAAAGCACTTGTTTGTTTGTTTGTTTGCTTATATTTTTTTCAAACTTTTTTTTTCTTTCCATTCATTCATTCCAATCGACCACTTAATAGAATGATATTTGTCCATTTATTTTACTTTTCATACATCTGATTGATCATGTAAATTTCAATTTTGGAAATATTGGTTGCATCGACTTGCATAGAAATGTCGCCAATTGACATGTGACCTGATGATGACGACGGTGACTAACATTTTTTTTTGCAAGCTCTATCAGAATAGGGCAGAAACCTGTCCTTTATCTATAATGACATAATCGCTTCTTGTTAATTTAAATCCCTCTGTATATAAGGATATAGATGATGGCGATTCCTATCATCGACGTCGCTTGAGCGCAACTGACTTAACTAACTAAATCAAACATAGTTCGTCTAAATGTATGTATGAACTAGCTATAAATCTGGTTGGTCATATGAATCACATTTTTTTAAAGTTATCAACGAAAACTTTTTCTGGCTCTTTTTTTATATTCATTCACATATGCTTTGAAATGATCATTAACAAACTACCAAATAAGAACAGCCATACACACTTTGAATTCATTTTTATTCTTTGATGCTCAAGTTGAACGAAAATAATCGATGGATGCTCACACACACACACACATGTAGATATATAAACAAGCTTAATGGTAATTTTGTTTGGCTCGGCTGAGTTATGATGATGATAATGATGACCGAATCTATTCTTCATCAATCATCGATTTTTGTGAATAAGGTTGAGGAGAAATATACACTGGCAATGATAAACCAGTGAACCAAGCGAGATTCGATGACCAAAATCTAATGAAGAATAACTTTCGTATATGGCATTCACAAAAAAAACTTTGACTTAACCTGTTGTGATCGTTTTTTTTTGGTTTGAACTTTGACCCTTGTGATGATGGCATCATCTTCATCATCATTAATACGTCGGTGCTTAATGATGATCACAATAAATGTTAGTATAGGATTAAGAAAATTTCAGTTTTGGTTCTATTACACTGCAGACGCATGTTGATCATTATTACTTGGGAAATTGTCAACGAACCAATCCAAATGGAACGACAGATGGAGCGTAGTAACCTTATCCATTCCAATATAACTTTATTTTTTCACTTTCTCATTGGACTTTCAAAAACTTATTTTTGACCAGGTTGGCAGGTGATCCAACACGATGGTTTCATTGAGAGACCTAGAGTCTCGATTGTAGACTTAGGAGATTATGTATGGTGTAGTGTATTTTTGCGTAAATTTATTTAATGTCCCCGGATGTTTCCATCCCCTACCAACGGAATAACGTACACATACCGATAAACAAAAAAGGTCACCAACATTTACACATGTTCACAATGAGTGGGGGGCTTTGATCTGGATCTGGGCCTCACCCTGCTATGCACTCATTATTATTTTCATATGTTTTTTCTCTAGTTTTTTTTTTGGAGCGCAGATGTTGGCATTTTAGCCAAAGACGACATTTGTCATTCAAATCATCGTTTGGTTTTCTTCCAGACATGATGAGACCATTTTTTTTGGGGGAGTTGATTTGAATAACAATTGGGTTTTAAAAGGAACACAAATAAATCCTAAAAAGTACGCGCCCCTCTTGTACATAACCAAGATGACTAAACCAAATGACCATCGGTTTCCTGTGTTCTTAATGTGTGTTTATCCAATGAATTGTTTAGGGTTCTGTTTGTTGATGATGTCGCAATCGTAATAAATACGGACATAGCTTAATTACAACATAGTTACATCATTTGAATGTTTGATGTTTTTGAATACAACGTATTGCCTATCAATGTGTGTGTATGAGTCATATATAAAAATTCGTTTATACGATTGGAAAAAACGCGCGCTTATTTTCTCTCATCCACAGCACCCAGATGATGTTTGTATACACACAATATACAGCCACATGTCTGTTTTTGATGCTGTTAATATATGTGTGTGTGTATGTGTGTGTGTATCCTCCCGCCAAATTCCATGTTTTTGTTGTTTTTGTTTTGATCTGTGTTCAGCTACCACTACTATGAACGAACCATTGACCATTGAATTAATCGTTCTTGTTTTATGCCGGGTTCCAGTAGTGGTATGGCCATTACTTGGATTGCAGAGAAGATTTTTCGGAAAATTTTTTTTCTTCATTTTCGGATGCCACATTTTATCAATGATGTATACCACTAGTTTGAGTTTTTAAGTTGACAAAAAATATTATGCATGATTGTTCAAAATCATCATCGTTTGATGCATGATGACGCGCACTCTCTCTCTCTCTCAAACAGCTACAACTCCGACCGATTGCTTTTGAAGCCACCACCATAACAGAGAGGAGAAAGATAACAAATATAGTAGTCCATAAATGTGAATGCTCAATAATATCCAAGTTTCATTTGTGCCCCGGCTTTACGATAGTCATGTTCACGTCGCATCGCATCGGATTCAAATCCAATTGAATTGTTCCTTTTACAATCTGTTAGTCGATTTTTTCGCTTTCCCTTAGTTTTTAGTGATGATTAAATGATCAAATGTTCAAGTAGTGTGCTTGCCAATATATTGAAATAAAATACACACACTAACTTGTTCCTTCCGAAATATAAATAAAATTTTAACGTGCCACATGTGTGTGCATCTATGATGTTTGTGTTTATGTGTGGTATTATACTGATTAATAACCATTGTCCAGTTTAAAATTCTGGACTCATTGTGATTAATCATCATCAAATTTTGTGAATGTGCGTTGTGTTTATTTATTTTTGTTAATTAATTGAATCGACATTTGAACATTTCAAACTTTATTTTGATTTCAAAGTTTGGCGCCAAAATTACCCTGCACCTTCAAGTACAAAGTTTTGTTTGTTTGTTTTTTTCCTTGGCATTTCAAGTGATCATGGAATTTGAATACAGCAAGAACCATAAAAGTCTAGCCAGTTTGTTTGCCTTTATAGATATTGAACGTAATCTTGATTATCGAATGTCATCATACAACAAAGGTTATCATCATAATAAGAAGCCAAACTACCGAACAAATATGAACATTTTGAATCCTAATTTATTGTTTTTAAATAAACTTTGTATCTGTCAATTGTTTTTTATTTCAACGGCATTTAACTTTATTCGTTGGCACTGAACACAACACACAAAGAATTTTTTGTCTCTTAAAATTTGAAACGGAAATACAAATTCACTGGCCTTTTCTCTCCTAATTACAATTGTCACTATTTCACTTGATATATCGTTAACTATCTGAGATTATTCAAATCTACGATAACAAAAAAAACCAACCAACCAAACATAACTACAATCCTGTTGATCTTTGATACAGCGAAATAATTTACTCGCTCTAACATTCACCAACAACAACCGATTGCTCAGTTCATCTCATCCGGTTTTATTTATTCCACATTATAATCATCGATCTGCATCTCACATTTCCTTTTATTCGTCTGTTTATCGGAATACAAAAAAAAACGATCCTCAATGTGTGCTTGTAATTGTCTTAGTTCATATAAATTCCTAAATTGCCACAGTTCGCAATTACCCCAACATCTTCATCATCCGAATTGTGAACGATATAGTCGATTATCGTCTCAATCATCGGCATCCTCCAGTCTGGCATCATCAACAGCTAGCCGTAGTAATAGCGGCGCCATTGCTGGATTTGCCGATTATCATTATCATCATCCCCATCATCATCATCACCTTTTCCGTGGTGTCAATGTTGGACTTGGTCAGCCGACAGCAGCAATGGGCGTAGAAGATCAATTATCATCTGCATCATCATCACCATTATCATCGTCTCCCTATTCTGCTGGCTCGTATCTGAATTCAGCACTGGGTGGCCAACAACAACAACAACAACAATCATTACGGGCTGCATCAAACTCAATTTCAGTACACGGTGGTTTACAAACTCGCAACGGTTCAATACCATTGACAAACGGCATATCATCAAGCCCTAGCAATCAACATCACTTCAATCCCTCTCATCATCGAATGGTGATAGATTCCGATACTGCAACAGCTGCCAACTGTATACCAAATTCATTATCGTCACATAGTTTCAGCTGTATGTTAGGACATAAGACCTGTTCGAGCAGTAATAACAACAATAGTCAACAGCTAGGCTCGAGCTCACCCTCATCGTCATCATCCAAGAAAAGTTTACGAAAATCTATCAGAAGAGTTGAATCTAATTCCTCAGCGGCCAGCTTATCTGGAAGCAATAAGAATCCAAACGGTGGCAATAACTCAACAAATATGAATTCATTGGGCCAAGGTCAACCGAATCGTTTTTTGCCCTCATTATTCACACCACCAACGCAATATTATCTGGGCACCATACATCAAATGTTATTTAACCAAGCCACATCACCTTCATCATCAAAACAAAGACATTTATCTCCATCGTTGAATAACAACAACAAAATCAAATCCTCAATGAATACGAATCATCATCATCATCATCATCATCATTATAATAACAACAATCACAGCCGTGATCATCGGTTGAGTGCCTCGTCCACCACCACCACTTCATCCTCCACGCAACAACCAACTTCCACCGTTATGCCAAATTCGTTTCAAACCAAGGAACGAACATCGATGAAGCCTCCAGCAACGCCTACTACTGACAATCCTATCATGGTCTCACATCATTCACCAACATTGATGCAGCCTCCATCGTTGCCACCCCCATCATCAAATGGCCGAGATGTGCATAACAACAACAACTATGGTAAGTATATTTTCTTGAATTCTGAAACATGTAAAGACACATATTTAACATGGGTATATCATGTGATTCCGTAATTTTGGTTCCCATTTGAGCTGCCCAAAACAACAACCGATCACAATAACAACAAAAACAGTGGACTAGAGAAAGCGCGCGCTTTTCCATGCATCCAAGAGACTGGAATTTTCATTGCCATATTAAATTTAATGGCACTCTCTCTCTCTTTATGTTTTGTGACAGCTGCAACCAAAAGAATCGACAAAAACAGTTCATTGAAGCCAACAACTCTACTGTGTATGTTAATTCTATGCACCCTAGCAAAAACAGTCATGCACACCTTGATGTGATCTAAACTTGAAAGTAGTAGCACATAGGATATAAGATGATTATTATGTATACCCTACACACATCATATATGCTGAGTTGGCTTCATATATTCAGTCAGAGGACACGAGACGCTCAACGACCTACCGACCTATCTGTCCGACCATCCACCCTCCGCCGTGCCTTCTTGCCTATTGGAATCGACCACGACAAAGGTCACTGTGCTCGAGAAGAGTGCTTTGAGATTCTATATTATATTAGCTTGCTTGCTGCTGCATTCGTATCTTCATGTGTGAGTCGCGAATTCTGGAATGTTATGGCCAAAGCATGGATAGAATTGCCTATATCTCTCTAGCTGTTATGATGATGGCCACGACGAAAGATTTGATTAGATTTGCTTAATTATCTTTCCACTCTCAATTAACATTGATAATTGTCCCTCACCAACACACACACACACACACACACATTAATTACCACCCTGATCAAACAAAAAGAGTTTTTCAAACACACCGTAATGCTACTCTTAAGACACATTCGAAAATCAATATGTGTGAGCTTAGTTGCTTTACGCCTTCTGACCTTTGGATTGTGAAACAATCGGCCTTTTAAAGGGTTAATTCAATTCATTCTTGTTAGTCAACTTGTCGTGCACATCTTGATGGGAATTCGTTGGGTATAATTTTCGTTATCCATTGTCGATACTTTCCACGATGAAACCGATCTGGTGAAGGTGAAGATTAAAAAGTCTAGCTAGAGGTCCTTCACATTTATTCATTTCCTGTTGCCAACTCTATATATGGAATCCTCTAACCATTTTCGCTATATTTCAATTTAAATGATGAATTTGGCACACAACATGGAGCCAGATTTTGTTCCTATTATTATTATTTATCCATAAACACGCTGCGACAATCCAAGAATCTTTCATTTGATTTCAAATGGATCAAAGCAAACGAGCAAGAGCAATGGACACATACATCTTTGGGATGCGCTACGCATCTACCCTCTCATCAATTAAATTGGTTTAAATGGAAGGAATATGGTAGCCTAGCAAACTCCCGCCGCCAACTCTTATTTAACCGTGTACACAAAACCAGAAAGCAATTTCCAGTTTGAGTGTAGCTTTCCCGGCTTCTTCGGACAAGCAATCGGGATGAATGAAAATGAAAAATTGCTTTCATCATTCATACACACACTGACATCTCACTCATTGGCGCTTATATAATCTTCATCGGGATTTTATTGCTTGTAAGTTTAAAAGCAACTTATAGCCTGCTGTATGGCTGCTGGGAGCGGCGATCGACCGACTGAAAGCGTTTTTCCTCCCGCCGCCGCCATTGTTGATGATGTCGAATAACTACTTGATTCATCCCGCCTATATCCAGCAACCAGCAATTTAGTTTGTGTTTGTGTGTGTGTATGTGGAGGATAGTTTGGTAAGAAAAAATATCAGCTGAATTCCAACAAACATGAACTGTCGTTAGATAGAATGAGGACGAGAGAGCAAGATGTGTGTGAATCCAACCAAGCTTTTAAAAAGCTGAACTTGGCCTAGACGCCGGACTATTTCCACACATATGGAAACCACACTTGGTCTCGATGTCTGGTGTTTTCGTTATTTGCTTCTGCCGGCTTTCTTCTATTTTTCTGTGTAAGTTAGCCAACTTTCCGTTATACATTTCGAGTCATAATCATCCGGAAACTACTAATCGGTTTTGAATTTCCTATGGACACAAGATTCTTAATGACATGCAATTAGCTATTCATAACTTTTTGGGCCTCCTGAATGAATATCATCCATGTCCTCGTTGCCTAATTGTGATGATACATATATATTATAGCAATATTATTGTCATAGTAATTAAGCAGTATTGGCGACAAGAATCTTGGCGCCTTGTCTGATGACTATGAATGTGAATAGAGATAGTCCTAAACTGCAATTTTGATCGTCAATATGATGTGATAATGGTTAATATATATATGACACTTATCACCGATGCGGTTGTTTTTTTGCAAAAAAAAAATAATAAAAATCCTGTGATGAAATATGCATCCCCATGATAATGACGATCACAATCATTGATAGGGAGCAATCCTTGTTGAGATTGTCTGGTCTCAACTCGACTCGACTAATCATTCAATGTTTCTATTAGTTAATAGTTATTAACCATCATACTATGATACAATTGATCCTTTGATCATGACCTGAATCTTGTATTCTGATATCCAACCATGTAGTATTTTTTTTTTCATTGATGATCGCTCATATTCTCATCATCGAACGATGAGCAAGCAATCTCTATATAATTGAGTCATAATCTGTTTTGTTGATCTTTTTTGGACAATGTGAATCATCTATTGTTTGATCCCGTTTTTTTTGTTTGTTTGTTTGTTAGTTTCAACAAACCAATGATGGCCGGCCATTCATTACCAAAAAGCATTCATTCCATTTGACTAATTGACAGACTGACAAATAATCAAATGAAAATAGCCCTAAATTATCCTTATTATATACACACATAAACGTCAACCAACCAGATAGACACACAATCAGAATTCCAGAAATTATCCCCATTCAGAATCAAAATTCATGAGGAGCTCGCCCTCTAACTTATGCAAACAAAGCAAATATATCCGCATAGATTCGTTAAAAGCAACTGCAAAACGAAACACGAAAAAATTCTTGCTATAGTTTGGTTGTTGGACTGGTTTTGCTATATAGGCAAATTTAATAGCCGGCTCTGCTTAAAAAAAAAATAGTAAGGAGGTTAATCGAGGTCAGCATCATACAACAGCTAGAGAGAATATGTTGAAACTATGGGCGAATATTATGAATCGAGAGTTGTTCACTTGGCACTCACTCGCATACATGCACACATTCTACAGAGAGTGAATATTCTATTTTGGTTCACTAAATCCAGTCGACTATCGGCTCTTACCCCCCATTGACATGCCCCACTGCTGGTTGCCTTGTTGACTATGGTGATTATTAGTCCACTATACAAATACATACAATGATTTCATTGCACGTGTACACACATTCATTCTCCAATTTCATTCTGTCAATATTTATGAGATCAAATCAACTATAATATTGTGAATATTTGTATTTCTTTCGGTTAGGCCAAAAAATTTCCCAAATGATGAGTGTTGTGGTTACTATTTTCAATTGGCCAGATTTCAACTAAACTGGGAAGCAGGTGTGTAGGTTTGTGTGATGCCTGCTTGTTTCATTTGGCTTATAATATTGAATGGTTGAAGCGTATTTTGTTCACCAATTAATTCAATTATAGCATTGATTATGTACAGTAAGATGTCAGCTACTTGGTTATGATTTGGTTAATCATCATCATCATCATCGTGAAAATATCACAATCCCTCTTGTTTATATGTCGATGATGGTGTTTATAACCAAAAAAAAACAAACATAAATAGCCATCGGAAAATTTGGGAAAAACGCTACATTATTTTTCATTATTGGTTTGTTTTTTTTCGTGTTCTAGCCTTTGGCTTGTGAATATTGAACACAACATCCCAATACACAAATAGTAAACAACAAAGATATACTATCATTACTATCATTGCAAGAGAGACATTTATCTACCAACAACAATATAAAAACACATGGACAGATATATCACATATTTCAAGATTGATTGATAGAGACAGAAGATCAAAAGCAATCGAAAGTTTCTGTGTTGTAAACAACGTCGAGTATGAATTTATATATAAAATAAAATATTCCCCTCAACATCCATATAGATTAAATAGAAAGCCATTTTTAAATGATGAGAAAGCCAAAAAGGAAAGTAATAGATAGAGAGAGAGGAAAACTAGCTTCGATAGCAACAAGCTCTCTCTCTCTTTATCCTTAAGTCCAATTGATGGTTGTTGATGCTGCTGATGATCACATGATCACATCATGAACTCATGAACGATCATGTTGTTATGATGTGATGGCCAAACGTTTCCTCTGTTGTCGTTGTCCTTGTTATCACCATCGGGAAAATAATCGATCTAATATGTTCGTTTTATGAATACCAAATAATAATAATAATAATTATAATGATGATGATAATATTGGCTTTTATTCATTTTGTGGCAAATTGTTTCAATAAGCCCTTGGATCCATAAGAATCCGGAACAAGTCAATGATGATGAACTTTGATCTTATAATAATCATACAGATAATATAAATATGATGACGATGATAATGTACGGGATTCTAATTTTAGTGATGAGAAAAAGGTTTTTTGCTGAATATATGTTCACAATAATGATAATGTTATATGTGCAAATATGCTACTGCCTTTATACGCGCTTGTAGTCGTCGACATTATCATCATCATATCGTTGGCGCCGTATAAGATGTGTGTGTAGATATATAACGACCAATCTCTTACATTCTGATGATGATCGTTATCACATTTGTGATAGGGATGAATCGAAATGAATATCACGCGTCTAACCTTCTAATTTTAGCGATGAAAAAGAATCCAAACAACATCAAACGGAACAATTAGAAAGTGAATGTTCCGTAAAAACATAGAGTGCTACAATGAGAGAGATTACTATTGTTGCCATTGTTGTGGTTATAAAATAACAACATGACAAAACCAAATGAATAAATTTCAAACAATCGAAAAAAAAATTTCTGGCATCGTATTTCAAAGTCTCTGTTTTTCATGATAATATATATAGCTGACGGTGGATGATCACATGATGAGATTGATTGATATTACAAGGCCAGACATTATGCATCACAATTCTAAAGATTTCTTTCGCATACCGGAAAACCATATCATGCATTTTTTCTGTTTGCGTTTTCGGATCAAATCTTGCATTCTGAATCTGATAACCGTTTGAAATGAAAGTTTTAACTTTTTACATGTCAATCATCATAACGGTTGAGTCGAAATTCTTTCATTCTTTTGTTTCTGTTCACTATGACTTTTTCATCACTAGAATTGTATTCATTTTTGATGATTGACAATACACAAACAGAGTCATTCATTCTCATGCTGATGAAATGTGAGTCACATGGACTGTGTGTCATTGTGTGTGATGATGATGATGATGATTTAAAGCTTGCACTTTGACGACCCAATATCTATTTTTTCCATTCTATGTTTACATGCTTCTCTGTTTTTCATTAGAATGTGTTCCACTACCACACCTATTCATTGTCATCATGAGTTTAGTTCGATTGATTTTGGCGCGGCCATAGGACCGAAAAAAAAATTGCGCGCCATTTTTCTGATCTATCAACAATAGAATAGGGTATATATTAAAATGAAATGGCATACGGTCAAGAGAAAACGCGCGCAATTTTATATGTGTTTTTGTATTTCACTTGTTGGTTAGCCACTAGCAATGGAATGTCTCATGCTTGATTCATTGCTTGCTAAAATATGAGCCAGTCATCAATTCGAAAAAGTAGGAAAAATTCTATTTAAGTGTTGTTTAGACAAAATAAAAATCTTTTTTCGAATTTCACTCTGACTAAGTTGAACACGTTTTTCCTTTTTTTTGTTTTTCGTTTTTGGTTATTTGAAAAACTTTAAAGACGTTAATTTGTAAAAGTGTTTGATCGATTTGAAATCCATGGATTATAAATCACAACATTACAAAAATCCTTTTTCGCGATCGATATGCTGGAATACACAGAAATCGTATGCGAATCAAAAATGCCTAAGCATGGGTAAAGCAAACACACAATTTATATACATACAAACTTGCTTTTTTTCATGATTATGTTTAATTAATAAATCTTTGATTTTCCTGTGAATTTTCATTGCCACACACACAGTTCGACCACGTGAAATGTTTGAGAAGAATTACAACGTAAGCAACATACTTGGACGTGGTGGCTTTGGCACCGTTTATGCCGGTATCCGAATCCGTGATGGATTGCCTGTAAGTTAATTTAATCTGTTTACAATTGAAACATGCATACTCAATTTGTGTGGAACTAATTTGTTTTAATATTCTCTTTTCTAAATCCTTGATGAACACACAGGTTGCAATAAAGCATATCAAACGTGATAATGTCACCAGTTGGGAGCAATATAATGGCCGGCCGGTACCTATGGAAGTAAGCTTATTGGAAAAGGTTGGCCACATAACGGGCGTGATCCGTATGTTGGATTGGTATGAAGATCAATCGGCCTTTATCATCGTCATGGAACGACCCGACAATGTTAAAGATTTGTTCGATTTCATTACCGAACGTGTTGTGCTTGAAGAACGTATGGCACGTTTATTTTTCCGTCAAGTTGTCGAAATTATTATTCTATGCCATAAAGCTGGCGTCTGTCATCGTGATATTAAAGATGAGAACATACTCGTCGATTTACGAACCATGTCTATCAAACTGGTCGATTTCGGTTCCGGTGCCTATCTCAAAGATTCAGCTTATACCGATTTTACTGGTAAGTTTTTATTTTCATACTTTCGAATGCAAGTTAAAAAGCCTAATAATAATCATGGCTAGTATATTCATCATGTAGAATGAATGAGACATTCTTGACCACCAACTGTGTGTATGTTGAGTACATGTTACCATTTTGAATGTGTACGACGAATTAATCTGCATTTGACCATAGTTGGCCGCCTAATGTGCATTTAGAAACAGAGTTTGATTTTTCAAAAAAAAAAGAAAAATTTAGATTTTACTACTCTCTCTCTCTCTCTATCTTTTGCTATCACTGTTTCTATTTGGTCGTCATTTTATAATGGTTAAGATTTTTTCTTTTAGAAAATGTTTACCAAATTTTATATGACACTTGTTGTAATTACAAGTGGCAGCTGCTGAGTTCGACCTTCATAGATGTCACTTTTCGTATCTTACCTCCTTTCAGCAATATTAGTGAACGAAAAGCAACTTTAGATTTGATTCTGATTCGACTAAAAAAAACCTATTTCCATTTTGACCAAAGACTAGACAGAGAGGAGTACCCTTTATGTTTTACATGCTTAGTTTAAAATGTCAGGTGTCAATTTTGTTTGAATTATGCCGATTGATTGATTGTTGCTTTCCAAAATAATCAGAATATTGCCGTTTTTTATTCATCATTACAATCTTGATGTTCCAATCATTTTGCTTGCCTTGTCCTTGTAAGCAAAATTCTAATGACAAACATGATTAGTCATTGCCAACTGGTTCATTACTTGTCGACTATCAAAATCATCATTCACATATATAGTTTTTTAAGCTAACCCTTTTGATCCTAAAATTCCGCATTCCTGTCTAAAGAAATTATCCGGCAACATATACAAACTTTAACTTGTCTGACGGCTGTCTGTATGTTTATGTTTGAAAGATTGAGTTTGTAAGAGAAAAGAAAAAAAAGTGGAACACAAACTACAGACAGACAAAAGGTTGATGATGATGGCAAGATTTCTCATATACAGGTCGATCCTTTCATCATCTTCGAATATCGACGGCTATTGACGAATGTTTGATCTTGGCTTGTTCGAATTGAACCATAGCACAGACAACAACAACAACAATAACAAAGTTGAGGAAAAGAAAATAAAACTTGTTCCACAACTTGTTATTTGTTGAATTCAATGTTCATTCATACAATTTATTTCCTCCCCTTTCGACGTATCTCTTGAATGCTATATGTATTTACTTTTTTTTCAAAAGCTCTAGCCTTATTGTAAATGCAAGAAATAAAGTTACCGTTATAATATTTTGGTTTATAATATTTATATTTATTATATATTATATATATAAAATATATAAATATCTGTATTCATGGCACCGACGCCGTTTGTTTTCTTCTCTTTTCTTCATTCGAGTAAAAATAAAATTTCTCGTTTTCTCTCATTCTCCCCCATCTTTTTCATTTATTTGTCAAAAGCTCCCGGCGTCGTTGGTAGTCACATGATTGAATCGTTTTTTTTCGTTCTAAACATATCTTCACCTACATTCATTTCTCATTTTCTCGATCTTTCTCTCATCCACTTTATTTTGATGATGATGATGATGGTCGTATGGCTTACCTGAGACGTTATATTATTAGAACGCGCGCATTGAAGGCCCTTTAATAACAAAAACGGTCTCATTTTTGCCATGAATTGAATTGAATAAAGCCTAAATTGCGTTGACCCATTATCTCGTTCTCTTTTGTTGCATGTATACATACAATAAATATATTGATGATGATCACATGGTCACATATTTATGATGTAACATGATGGTGGCCACCAAATGAGAATCGATTCTGTATAGTATTCATTTTGAATGATAGATCGCTAAATAATCCCATATATGAATGAAATGTACTCACCATGGCAATGTACAATCAATTGCCGGATGATAATGACGTCATATACGATTTGTATAGAGAGTTACCTATTAGCATATTACCCATTGTTCTCGCTTTTGATATTATATGGTGATGATATTTCTATGAATGAATTCGACGTTAAATGGTTTGGCAAAAAAGATTCTCATTCAGCAGATATATCATAATAAAAGCCGTATAATAGAATGAAATCGAGGTCAAATTATGGAAGATCAGCTGTTAATGTTTTTCTTTTCTGGCGCCATTTCCATATTACAGAATCTAATGGCTTTGTTTCTTTATTTGAATATACATTGTTTGTTCTATCTGCTTCGATTATATCGATTAGAATACACAAGTAGTATTTCATCAGGCTCACAATTATTATTACTCATGTCTAAAATGCTATCATGATTCGCTATCATTGTTTTTCCATTTGTTTACCATCCATTGCCTCATAGATTTCAAGTCATATTCATGGTTTCGACGATTGCAGCACGTAAAATCCCTACAAACACAGACATTTGACATTTGTCAAAACGCCATTGCTGTAATGCACATGTGTATGTTTACAAACATTCCACAAAAAATAACAGCTTGAAAATGTTCAATGCATAAAAGATACGATACGTCGAACATGCGTATTTGCTTTGTTTTGATCTCTTTTGAAAATACATTTTTTTTTTGTTTTACGTTGGCGACTTGCATTCTAGACGCCCTATCTTGTGGCTATATGTATTATACATAAGCATACTTACAAACAAGCAGAAAGGGCCATCGTAATTGTGTCGGGCGCCATCATGCAATCGTATTTATATTTGTGCTAGTTTGCCTTGTCTTGCGTGCATTTCAATCTCTCCTTGTCTTTTCTTCTTTCCGGCTTGTATATATTTCTTCATCTCCCTCCCTCCCTCTTTTGAGTCATTTTGGAGCGAATGAATGAATCGTTGAAATGTGTATATATATTTTTTTGGCGTTCGTCATGTGATTTCTTTTTTGTTGTTGTTGTCGATGATGATGATGATGATGGTGTGTCTGTGTTTATATGCGTGTTTTGCTGTTTCCTTCTCTTGTGTTGTAGAAACAGCTGCTGCCGTATGTGATGCTCTTTTTAGAAAAAAAATTGGTCAAATCTCGATTAGTTGAAGCTAAATTGTTGTTTTTATTAAAATATATTCATTCTACGGTAGCTTATCTATTCTTATGAATTCTGGTCAGTATAGGTATAATGGGTTAAACGAATAAACAAGTGTTGTGTATAAACTTGGGTTTTTTTTTGTTATGAATGAAAATTGCACTAAACTCATACTACATCGTATAAATAATACCGAGGGAGTCTACTATACCAACGAATTGGATGAATGAGATCAAAATGAACTTGGTTTTTGGCTTTCCTATCTCGTTGCTGATGATATTGTTTACATATGAATGGTTTGTTTGATGGCATTTCTATGCTCTTGGGTTATTTCCCAAAACAGCAAAGATAATAAGCCAGTTTGCAGATTGTCTCTTATCATCGTCATCATTATTTCTATTATTGCACTCAATCGCACTCTCGATTACAAGTGAGAGAGAGCAATAGGAAATTCAAGGAACATATAATGACAAATGCCAAATAGACTTTGAACTTTGGCTATTTACAATTTGTATTTAGCTTTGTCGGTTTCATCCATTATCTTTATTCACAACAAACCCCCATACTAAAAACCAGAATCAGATGGAAAACATTCCAATAATTTAATATATTGTCTTGAGTTTACCACATCTTATCTTATTATCTGTTTACGTCATTGCGATTCACATAGACTACCTTATCAAATATCGTTCATGAGCTCATCATTGATGAAATTGAATATCGAATGGGGACAAACAAAAAAATTTTTCCAATTCTATCATGCCATAACTTGAGATTCAACTTATCATTAGTTTGCACATTGAGAGTGGTAGCTCTTTAGCTAGATGGATCGATTTGTAGGTCATACGACGACTCTCTCTCAAAACAGTTTGGCCATCAAGACAACAGAAAAAAATACTGCTTTCCCCCCCTTAAAGTGTTGTATTTCCGCATAACTTTGTTTAGAAAAACAAGAAGAGTTGCCTTTTTATGTTAGAAAAATGCCGTTATGGATCGCGTAGAGTTGTATTCTCGTTTGACCAGTTTGGTGTGTGTCATGTTAACAAACATACATAGATTGGATTCCCGGCTCTAACTTGCTGCGACTGCGTGTTCAATTGTCTAATGTTGCAGATTGTCAATGCTTTCTATTATCATTAAGATGATCTTCATCATAATAATTGGCGAATATTGCCGGCGTCTCATCGAATCATCCTATTCGGTTTGCTATTGCTATATAAACAAAATGACAATTATTAATGTCATCGGTTTTTTTGTCGATTCTCTCTGCACTATAGTATCCAAAAGATTACAACATGAATTAGTCAAAGTGCGACTTATTATTGCCAAAAAGTCTATAGTGTCTTGAACCATAATCGAATGGGAATGCCCGGCGCCATCTAAAGTATAATAGAGAGAGCACTCTATACTGATCTCATAAACAACAAATATATTACGCAACTCATTCCAAGTTACCCTGAGCCCGGCTGTAACTGCTTTCAAAATTACCCGTTATTCGTTGCACATAAATAGACATAGAGCCCCCACCAAATACAAGTATTATTTAAAGTCAACCACCATCGCCCTACCTGTCTGCTGTCCTCTTAACCGACTACAACAACACCGTGTGCAATTCATTTAGAGTGTTTTAGTTAGCATCGGAATGTGAGCGATTTTTTCTATTATAGTCGATAAAAAAACCAAATGGCAATTGATGATGATGAATAGTGAGCGTCTTTGTGTGCAATCTAATGCATGCATCGAAATATGAACGTCATGCGATCGAGCGATACCTTGATCAACAACAACTCGCTTGTCCAGTTAATCTGTCATTGAAGAATGTTGATTGAACACACACAGATGATGATGGGGAGCGAGAAAAAAGCAATCACTTGTTACTTTTGCGTGAGGAAAGGATTGTTGGAATGCTAGCTATGTGCCGTGTTTTATACACAATATAAATGTATTCTCTCCTTTATTTACTGATCTCAAAAATGTTTTTTTGGTGGTTTTCGTTGTTTCATTTTGATATAATACATAGAAATGTAGTAGAAATGCACATTATCATTGATGTTATTCATTAATCAATATATATTCAATTTTAATTTATTAATACACAGGTACACGTGTCTATTCTCCACCCGAGTGGATTAAATCAAGCCGTTACGATGGACTAGCCGCCACAGTATGGTCTTTAGGTGTGTTGCTTTACGATATGGTCTGTGGCGATATACCATTTGATGATGATGAGGCTATAATCGGCGGTGTGTTACGATTCAAACGAAATGTCACCTCCGAATGCCAGGATTTAATATTCAAGTGCCTATCATACAATGCAAAAGATCGTCCCACGTTAGAAGAAATCCTTGTGCACCCTTGGATGGGTGCCAAATTAGATTCATCATCCACATCTATTGGTGTCGATATCCCATCAATGGATAATTCATCCAGTCAAATATCGGCCAATGGTGTTGCACATCATGGTGGTGGTCGTCGTTCAATGCAGATGATGCATTTTTCTTCCGCATCGGTTTCCGGACCCGAATCATCCACATCATCATCATCGTCATCATCACCGGAAACTCCGCCTGGATCATTGTTTTAATGACAATTTCACATAACATCACTGATTCATCACCCATCCGAATTATCTCATCATTCTCTTTCGTTGCTCTTATAAATAAATAATGTATCTGCAACCTAGACAAATAAATCAACAAATTCGACCTGAAAAGTACGACTCCCCTCTTTTTGTTACACATTCATATTGATATCATACACAAAAATCGATGCCATTTCCCACTATTTATTGTGCTCTCTTTTCCCCTAGTTTTCAACAAACGAAATCGTTTCTAATTTATTTTTCTCACTTTGCAATGATGACCAATTCACTTCATTTATTTATTGAAATATCATCATTCTCTTATTTGAGACAATTCATAGGCCCTCATTGGTTTCCAATCACAATACAAACATTTGTCAATATTATTTATTCTCTTCTCACACCATTCAAATGGCTCAACTTTTCTTAGTGTAACACACTTGGTTTCCACACACACACACACACACCCACATCCATCTCTATGTCTATTATCATGTTTATTATCATTTCGAATTTCTGATTGATTATTGTTTCGTGCTGGGCATCCAAAATCGTCATATTTTTTCATGTACATTTGTGTGTGTGTGTTTGTTTATTTGTCTATTTATTTTCATCATTCATTGTCGTTATCGGCATTATCCATCCTCCTCCTTTATTTATTCAGCCTAAACATCAACACCTAGATGAAATATTCTTTCATTTCTCTTTTTGATACGAGCCTATTTATCATTTCATTCATTCGATTTATTTAATATATAAACCACAAGATGATATTCATTCTCCCCTTCCACAATGTGTACAGACACCAATTACAAATTGACTTGATGATCAATGTATCGAGTCTCATCGAAAATCCAATGTTCAAAAAGTAACCTGGCACAAACAGTACAAAAAGAAAACAGCCATCTAACAACAACAATCATCATTGCAACCCTTCTGAGATTCACTTTATAACATGAAATTTATTAATGATATGATATCCAGAATCAAATGAACTTGTTCATAAATAATTGATTGTGGATATGTGAGAAGCAAAAGTACACACACACACACACACCATACCCAGTGCTTAAAATGTTTCATTTGGCCTGTGTTTTTTTTTTGTTTGTTTGTTTGTGTATTCTACCAATTATTTACATTCTACATTTATTTATGATTATTATCTTTATATGATGATGATGATGATGATGATACAAATTATTTCTATTATACACACATGTCCCTTCCTTTTTATATATATACTAATTTTCTTGCTTGAGAAGTTTCTAAACTTCAACCAAATGATGCAGTTATCACTTATGAATTATTATTATCAATTATAATTAATTGAAATCCAAATGGTTAACAAACAAATCAACAATTCAAAATACACATATAAAAATCGTCAATCAATCTCCGCTTTCCTCACATACACACACAAATCTCTATTAGATAACATCCCAATAATTCACATTGTGGTTCAAAACCAACACAGATTATGTAATATTCTCGTCCAACCTGTTCCCCTTCTCTGCCTCTCTCTCTTTCTTTCTCTTCATCACACAAAGTGAAAATCTGGCTTTCTTCCATCATCATTATCGTACACCATGTTTGTAAAAAAAAAATCCTACTCGTTTTTTTCTATCAAATTTTTTTCGGCAAAATTTTCTTGGAAAAAATCTGCTATACTAGTCAATCAATAATTAATAAATCATAATTTTTTCTTGTTTGAAAACGATGAAATCATTATACAAAAAAAAAACAGTTTAATTGTAATAGTGTTTCCATTCATCAAAACTGCTGTTCTATTTTGTCACACCCTAAAAAATTTTGTCACTAAAGCGCTCTCAATCCTCTGGGTCGATTGAGCCTTTGTGATTAAAACTTTTTCGGATCAAATTAGACACCAAACACACTCACACAAATAAAACAACGATTGAATCTCAAAAAATATTTTCTTTTTTTTTTGTTTGTAATTTGTATAAAAAAATGAATTTTTCTCCAGAAAATGACATTTGGCAGAAGAAAAAATCAAAACATGGCTCAATTTTCTCTTTGTTTATTGTAAATAAAATTTGTCTTTTTCACAACACATGAATCATCTATGTTTTTTTTAATAATTTTTTTATTTTGGTTCAATTGAGTTAACAAGTTTTTTTTATAGGACGTTACAACTTTTGATTCAATTGGATTATTCAAACAAATCAAACAGTATGGGCACACACACACACATATATGACGCTGGCCGAACAATCGATAGAATCGTGATTATATGAATGAATGAAAACGCATCTGTTTGTCATTGATAAGAATATTGTACATTCTTTTAATTTCAATCGGATGTCATCAGCTCTACAATTACCCTAATGACTGAATGACTGAGTTTGTCCATTTCCCGTTCTTATCTGTTTTTGATGATAAATCGCTTCTTGTCGACAATGATTGTCAAGGTTGATCGTTCTCTCTCTCTTTCTCTGATCCATAATGGTATCAATTTAGCTAGCAAGAGGTTGATCGACCTTTGATTTCCTGGAAGGAAGGAATGTTTTCAATTAGATAAAATCAATCCATATCCGTTCACTTTGCTAACAAAAACCGTTTCTTGTTTTCATATTTTGACTTTCAAGGTGAATGGAAAATTTGTCATTTTTGCTTTGATTTGTCGATCGTCATTAGTTGGTTAGCTTATCAATTGTCAATCGCCATTAAAATAAGCAATGATTTTTTTATATGACCATCTTATCGATATGAATAATTCAAAGAAAAATCAACATGTGTCATACATAGTGTGAATCGCTAAACATTCTCAACATGTTTGTCATTTTCTCTACTTCGGTAAAGATTTCGATCAAATTGATCAATAAAACAATTTGATTCCAGTAAATCGACCATCAATTTTTGGCAATGCTGTGGTATACATCCTTATTTTTCTATGTTTTTTGTTCACCATTTTATTTAACTTGCTCTAGCTTTATTTTCATAAATACATCAGTTTTCTTAATATTTAAATGTGGCTAGTGAAAAAGAAAATCCCCATTCAAGGTGATCATTGTTATGAAAAATATATTTACATTGAACGGGCAATTCCATGTAGCTAGTCCGTACTGTACAGAATTCCAAGGCTCATTTCAAATTGTATTGATTGTGAAAATGATGTAAGATTATTGCTATTTATTGCAATATGGCCAATTCATATATCAACTTGATTTATTTGAAAAATTTATCTGGGACTTTTCAATCGAATGAGTGATTGTATTGAGCTGTAATACGATCATTATCGTAAACAAAGTCTCGTGATGTTCATTTGGTTTGTAGATTATTTATTGCAAAAAGAGTATCATCATCATGCGATTATGTTGAATTGATTGAATGATAGTTTTACGATGATAATGACTTTGAAATAAACATTATGACAAATACTCTTTTTTTCTCTTTAACATTGACGATTAATTTGTATGGTTTTATATATATTGAATATAATATATAAATTGATAATATAATCATGAAAAGGCGTAGTAAAATTTTAGTATAAAAAGCCAGGTGTAATTCATTTTTTAATTTGATTTGTTATTTGATTCGGTTTCAAGATTCTTGAATCATAAATTTTTGACTGTTTGTCTATGATGACGAGGATAATCCAGTTAAATAAAATCTATTTTGAGTGCAATCCTATAATGCGAATTCAACATTTTGTGGTAGATTTTTTTTTCGTTCCTCTCAAACAAACCAATTAGATAGTGAACAGAATATTATTCGAATAGCATTGATCGATTCATTAATGAATAGACAGTTTGGGATATTTTCATAGGATCGAATACAACTTTCTCAATTAAAAATTAAACTAATAAATCAAATGTTGAAGGGTAAAAGAACTGATGGCTTTAATGCGATTATTATTTGTAAGATGATTTGAACAAATGATCACGTGAATCCTGGTGTATCTAAATTCAAAACACAATTCTTGGATTGTTCATTTGCAATGATTAAGATGTAAATGTCATATGATGATTAAATATTTAACTAACTTTGTAGAATGGTGTAAATCTCTTCATAATCATCGCCAACAAGCATTCATTCTGTGCTTAATTCAGCTTTTTCTGACTATTGGTATTCATTTCTTTTTTTTCTCACAGAATTGGCAGCTGCAATCCACTTGGATACAGTGCTCCAGACAAGAAAACAAACAAAAAACCACAATCAACAAGCCGGTCGGCTGCCCTTTTCTTATGTGAGAATGTGTTTTATATCGGTGAGGCATAATGTACGAGAATGTAAGCTGAAAAAACCGAGGCATTGATGAGTTGTACAAGAATGGGCCTCATCATGACAAATTACTTATACAGTTGAATGAATGTTCTGAACCGAATTTAATTCAGACTAGTGTCAGACAGAATTTTTAGCAATCACTATTTTAGAACAGAACAAATAAAGCTGTCTTTCCAGATTATCAGCATAAACAACAAGAATTCCTGTCCAAATCGGGCAAAAAACAGTCTGCTATTTTGAGAATGAAATATTTGTGTATTTAAAAATGCTAAATTAATTACTAATCAACTAAATATTATGAATAGAAATAGAAATATAGACATTTTCATTCTTTACTTTTTTCTCTGTCCGCTGGCTAATAACTCTTATTCAATTGTTGAAACATGTAAATTATGGCTAGTTGATTATTTTGGTGATTCTCATGAATTTCAATGCTAATTTTTTGTCATATGTTTTGATTGGCATGGTTATTCACATTGTTTGTCATAAAAAAATGTTGGCAAAAAAAATTGGTAAAATTTTACGAATATCAAGCTCAAACATTATGCAAAACAGGTGATCGTTATTCGTTTACATAGTGATGATGACTTGGTTAAAAGCAATGACTAGATTCATTATGAATCATATACATTGTTACTATCACAGACGATCAATCAATCAATTTATGTAGTGAACATCCTCGATTCTTTCAAGTCTCATCATCGTTCGAGCGCTAGGTGTCAAAGCACCCAAAAAACTGAAATGAATGACAAGCTGAGCCAAGACCGGTTGATGGGATCGTGAGTGCATCGTAGACGAATGTCCAGTGCAAAACATTCAACATGATTGATCGATTTCTCGAACCTTTTGTCATTTCTTTTTCATGATTTGTTCGAGACGAATAATTCCGACACACAAACATGGATACGATATTTGACTATTTATTAAACATTTCCCATCCGATTTCATCTTTGAAAAACACTGGCCAATAACATCGTCATCATGCCATTGTTGAATTTGTTTTTATTCCATAATGAGTCTGGATATGGAAAAATATAATTTCATTCGCAATCTCATTTCTACATATTGATATTGTTTCTTGAACTGAAGCAACTATGTTTAAGCATCCAACATTTGTTCATACGGTGGCAACGGAGATTTAATACAATCATCTCAACTCTACATGATGATAATGATGAAAGCGAGCATGATATTCTTTGTTGTCTGAGAAATTTCCTTTTCTGTCATAGTTTTTCATTACTTGTTTTCTTTGTTTGTTTCATATAAAGACAAAGAGAAGCCAATCTTGATGTCTTTTGATAGTCATGATTTTCATCGACATTATCGTTATTAAATGTGGCCATATATTGATTGTTTTCATTGATATTATTTCTATTAACACTCAAACAATGTTGAAAGGAAGCTGTCAACAGTGATTACAAAAGATCAATAGGCAGTTCATTTGTTTTTTTTCATCATTTATTTGATTAACATGAATTGTATTTTAAAGAAAAATTTGAAGAATGATGAATGTAGCATTTCACATCTTTTTTTTGTTTTTTAAACAATCGGATTTGTCGATCCTGATAGATAACGAATTGCTGAAAGTTTGTTATCATCAACGACGGTCGACGACAACAATTTTAAAGCAAAAGTACCTAAAGACTATAAATAGCTTACTACGTTTGGTTGCTTAAAAACATTTCTTGTATCTTCCATAGATATACACACATTTGAATTGGTATGAAAAGAATGAAAATTTCATGAATGAGACAACATAAGGAAAAGGATAAATTCTTAGCATAGTTGTTTAACTATCATTCACTTAACTCTAACATCTTGTTGCCGCCATCATGTTGATGATCGAGACTGGAAGCGAAAATCTGAGAACGTAAGCATTTTTCTCTCATCTAACATCAGTTATATGGTTCGTACAAGGTTTGTCCTAAATTTTGCCACTGTTTTTAGCTCTTGAAATAATCCATTCATACAATTTTTCCTTTGGTGTGTTTGAATTCATTCAACTCTTTATCCCATATTATATTCATGTTCCCACCAATTTTTTTTTTGTTTTTGATTCTTTTAGATATTTTTATTAGGCCACATTGGATAATCATTTAATTTTGATTCTGACAAAGGATCATTACAATGATAGAAATCAGTATTTGTTAATTATACTCAAAACATTACCTATACACTCATAAGGATACATTCAAATTATTTGATCAAGAGAACAAACAAACAAACTAACGAACGAACAAATGGTGACAATGTGATGCATGAATAATCCATTGATATGGGCAATCACATGGTTATGGGGAATAAACCATTTTTATCGATGTACCTAAGAATCACTGGATGATTAACTTTTGATTTGCTCACATGTTTATTATTATTTCATATTGATTTGCAAGAAATCGTTGGCAAACAAGGCAAGATTGACTTTAATTTGATTAAATTTGATTTGATTGTTGATCGATCAATCATTTT